ATATCTAGACAATCAAGCCGTTGACTGAGTTTTCAGGGTGGTAGATGTCTAAGCTAATCTAATCTAGCAATGCGATTTAGCCGATACCGGCAGAAACCCTAAAACGAGAAGCAGCCGATAGAGCTAAATTGATATGCTAAGACTAGATTAACAGAGACATATGATAAATAGGTAGGAAAATATATCATCCAAACCAGAGCAATCCAAGAGGTCGAATGTACTGATGCAGCCTTGAACGACGCCGACGTAAACGATACAATTGCCTGGGCCGGCGGAACATTGGACTTACCCCTTAGCTGGAGATCGAACACCGATGCAGCCCCGCATCAGGTGCCAAGTCACGCCGAAACATAAAAACAAAAGTAGAAATGGTAAAAGGTGGCGATGCGCCAAATTGTATTGATCGTAGCGATAGATTACATAGACCCCGGGTGTACATATTTATACCCATGGGTTGATACAAGTCCTTGTCAGACAAGAAAGAAACTAACCTAAAGATAAAAGGAAAATGTAAAGTCCTTATCGGACACTAAACACACTTTCCTAAAGATAAAAGGAAACTAACAAACTATTCCTAATTAATAGATAAACTGCCATGCCGCATCCTCTTTAAACTTGGTCACTTAGGGATAAGCTTCCTTTAGTAGATTGATTTTCTTAACCGAATATAGCAGGAATCTTACTATTGGCGACTTGATAACTCCCATCGGCTGATTCCGAGATGTTGCAGCCGATAATGATTATAAGCCGATGACGTCTTTGCCGATTACCAAATTTCACTGTTAACAGAAAGAGATATCTTTTTAGTCACATTTTATAAACTAAAGTTGTAATTTGCATTCTTAGGTCAAATTTTAAATCTTGTAGTTTCTAAGCAAACCATTGCGACATATTTCGCCTCTTCTTAATATAATCAAGGCAGATCTCATGCCTATTGGTTCAAAATACTTTTTTAATAAACTTAATTGTATATATTTTCTTTCGATGCTTTTCATTGATTGAAAATGCTTGAATTTTTGTGTATTGGAATAACTATCCTAGAAGTAATAATGTTTTAATACAATATTTAAATAGCTGAAATGCTTATATCTTAGTATAGAGGGAGTATTATTTAACTTCCCATTTGTACAAAAAGAAGTTAGATATTTAAATTTGAAGACATGCTGAATTCAAAAGGATAACTAGAAGAAAAAAGGAATTGCTAAAATACTCAGATCTTTGCCGAAAAGAGCTATAACTTGATTATACACTTCACTTCCAAAAATAAATAGATGAAGGGAGTGTCTCTAGGGTCAAGCGGGCTTATTTGTCGTCCCCAGCCCTAGGGGCGATCAGAACAGCGACTCTACGTCCACTACCACCAACCCCCTTCCTCCTATCCTCTGCATCACCATCACCCGAATGGCCCGTTGGTAACCGTGCGGCTGCAAGGAAGGCAGCGGTGAGGCTCTCTCTTCTACTCTCAAGGGTGCTATTAGGCTAGGGCTCTGAGGCAATCGTGAAGACAGAGGTGGCGCTGCCGGATCCGAGTCTCCATGGCTAGATCCACACAAGGTGAGGCCAGTGGACGGTGGAGGGCCGAGCCAACACATGCTGTGATTGAGGATGGCAGAGTAATGGTCATAGAGGTGGCGGTGGGGATGCTAGATCAACATCCTATTGGGCAGATCTTATGTCCTTCTAGACGGATCCTGTGTGTCTCCAGTGAGAGGTACAGATCCTTGAAAGCAACTCTTGATGACGACGAGAACGACGTGGGTGGTGGGCATATGCTCTGCAGACATGGCGTGGTGGCCGGTAGTGATATGGAGAGAGGCGTAAAACGGTGTAGCCACGGTGTCAAGGGTGGCCGTGGGCATTGAAGGCCGACGTGCAGCGAGGAGGCAGGGTACCTGGAGTTTGGGCATTCAGCAAGGAGGCACCATGGAGTGGCATGATACAGAAGTCGACAGCGTGTGGTCATCCCTCTTGGGTGAAGTTGGAAGAAGGTAGCAGTGCAAGGCAATGGCGGTGGGACTTGTAAGCTAGTGAGGCCCATCGGTGGTGTGTGGGGAAACTGGAGGTGGCCAGCGTGTTGACGGCTTGATGGAGTCTAGCGGTGAGAAGGGCACATTGTTCTGTCTCGGGAAGGGGCATCTTGCCTGATGGCCAACCGACGGTAAAGTGTTGGTGCGGTGATTGTGAGCTGAAGGTTGTTGGTATTTCTTATGGTCACATATAAATTCGCAAGCGCACGGATATCGCTATAGCATTTCACCCACGAGTACTCCCAAGGGTATCGTATTTGTGCTTCCACAGCGAAGGGGGTGGTATAAAGATATGTTTTTTTATATCTCTTAATCAACCTTTAATTAATTCACCATAGTCTAAATAGTGGTTAGGATAATAAATGATAAGGTAGTGGACACACACAGAAGATTCACCTCTATAAGAATATCTAGTAGGGACTTATCATTAGGAAACTACGATTCATATATACTTGAATACTAATCATTTCTAGTATACACTTAACATATACATGCTAACAACATAGGACTTAGTTCTAGGCACACAGATACTACCGAGAGACCACTCACTACTAGTCTGCCAGCATGGTTATGGCATTTATGCATTCTTACGTCATACTTGAATGTGTAGGAATAAAAAGGACGGACATGGCTATCACCACCTGCCACCTACCTCACTTTCCGTGGAGGCACACCCGGATCCAACAACATTTATTTAGCCTATATACCATGCTTGTGCAAGTAAACAATATCACTAACTCCCCCAAGACTCTCACCCTACGGATGAATAAGTTGGAGTTAAATCAATCTATAAAGGTTATTGGACCGTTACCGTAGCATGGACCAATATACAAAGTCTAGGATGAAGCATATATACAAAGTATATACTATTCATAGAACATATATTAAATAAAGAAATATATAAACCATGAGCATAAATAAATAAAGAAGATAATTCTATTAATTCAACTATAATCTTACACAAAGAGTAAAGTACTAGAGACATACCCAGAACTCCAAGAAGACTATTGGACCGAAGATTCTAAACTTTATTCCTACTAGAAACTGAATACAAAGCGGAAGAGGGGATTTCTTCTTTGAGGTGTGTATTGCAAGTGAGGGAGAGCTCCTTTTATAGCACTCTTATGATGGTTATATGACGGTTATTGGTCCGCCAGCCGTGCATAACTGCCATCAGGTGCGCAGGAGGAGGTGACACGTGGAGGATCAGGCTGAGCGGTGCTAGCCAATGTTCGGTTGAACACCTAGTTCGGTCAAACCAGGAAAACCGCCTTTGGCGAGAGGCTGCCATGTGGGCCCCTTAGTCGGTTTCCAGGTGGTTGGCCCCACTTTGAGTCGATTTGAACTGACTTGTGAGTCCTTTAATCTGTGTGCTCGCACGTGATTCATCGGAAGTGTGTTTCTTCACATGTTGTCTTCATTTCTCCTTCACTTTGATGTATATTCTCTACATCCACATTTGTTTCCCAATCCTAATACAACTACATTATTTGTTGTTGATATACATGTAACATATGCTAATTTTTCCTTTATTCATTGTACTGGTTGGTGTTCAAAATTTGTACTTAACAATCGTCAACAAATGTGCTTTAGATAGTAATGACTGTTGTTTTCTGTTTTCGATAGGGACTCAACAACAGGTTGAGGTAGGAAGATTGCTAGGCGAAAGCCTAGCCCGTTCTGGGGCGGCAGCGATGATGCTTTTTGCGGTAGCCCAACCCCTGTTAGGGCGCTGTTGTGGCATATCTCATTCCTCCTGATGGTTTTGTTGGGAGAAAATCACGCCCTGATCCTCAAGACGGGTGATGGTGGTAGTGTTGTCGCATCATAACCTTCTTGGAGGCGTTGTTTGATGATCCATTTCCTACCAATTCCATCTCCAGACAGTTGTCCTCTTCTGGTGGCGCTTTTAGCCAGCACGATGGCCACGTTGGCGGGACTATGTGGGCGACAGATATATTCTTTCTCGCCCTCGCCTTCTCCAACACAAAGCGTGGACAAAGTTGAGCTTGTCGGGTTGTTCTAAGCTCCTGTTTTTTCTTCAATACGTGTTTGTGTTGTGGGGTTCACATCCACTGCCATTAGAGGTAAATGGCAGAGGTAAACAGTAAAACGTGAGGGATGGTACAGTGTTTTACCACAGCTACAGTTAAAAACCTCTGTACAAACAATGTAAAATACCTACCGTTAGTACGGCATTAATTTACTGTTAGGTACTGTAGCGATCGATCTCATCCATCCACATCTAATCTAACGGCTGAAAATGGCTCATGGTAGAGAGTACTATAGCTGTCTGCCATTCTAGTTTCAATGGTAGAGGATAAGTTCCCAATGTTGTGGGTGAGGGCATGGTGCTTTTTTTTTCCTTTTTCTAATTATAATTAACCTTCCAGGATTATGTTCTTATATAATTTTTTTAGGGCCTGTTTGGTACAGTTCCAACTCCTAAATATTGCTTCAGGAGTTAAGTCTGGAGTGGAGTTGTGGAGCTGCCTAAACCCAGCTCCACAACTCTAGTATATTTTGTGAGAGAGCTCCACCCAACTCTGCTTCCAGTTTTGGTGGAGCTGAAACTGTTTGGCTGAGCTCCAGCTCCAGGAGGTGTGGAGTTGGAGCTGGAGCTGTGCTAAACAGGCTGTTACTGTCATATTGACATGAAACTTCGTAATATCTACACGGGTCATTTTTTTTTATAAAACAGGTGATTGACTATACACCATACAACTAGCACTCTAGCAGTCCTAATTCCCGGCGGAAGGAATATTGGCCAGTCCAAAAAAACCCTAAGTATGTTGCTACGTACTTGAGCTACTATATAGTTTCACAAATGGATTTTATAGGAATTTCATATGGATTATATTAGTACTTGAGCTACTATATAGTTCCACAAATGGATTTTAAAGGAATTTCATATGGATTATATTAGGCGCAATTCAAATTCGTGCAATAATCAAGGAAAAAAAAACCATGGAAACTACCCAAAAAAACAATGGAAACACAGAGAAACTATGGAATGCATCGCCAATCTTTGGCAACGTACGAGGATTCAACCCAAATCTTGTTTGACTCGACCACCCCAAAATCGCCGTCCCGCTCGTTAGTCCGTTACAAATACCCTACACACGCGGACACGCCTCGCCTCGCCGATCACGCCGCCCAACCCGCTCCCCCCACCGTCTCCGGCAATGGCGCCTGACCTCGACGACGACCTCATCCGTGCGGAGGCCGAGGCCGCGCTCAGGCTCCACCGCAACGGCCGCCGCGACGAGGCGCTGTCCCGCGCGATGGACCTCGCCATCCAGCACAAGCGGTCCTCCCCGCTCGCGCTCAACCTCTCCGGTGACCTCAACATGGCCGCGCACCGCCGGAACCGCCGCCGCGGCCGCGGCGCCGCCGCCGACGACAAGGCGCTGGCGGAGAGGCAGGCGAAGTTCGCCGCCACCTGCTACAAGATGTCGCTCGACGCCGTCCCGGACTGCGTCGAGACGTTCGCCGCCTATGGCGAGGCCCTCGTCGGGACGGGGATGTGGAAGCCGGCGTGGGACGCGTTCATGCGCGCCGCCGCGATCGCCCACCCGGCCGACCCGGCGGCGCACCGCCTGGGCGGCTACGGCCGGAGCGCGGGGCTGACGAGGGGGGAGAGGGTGGAGATGGCCAAGGCGAGGCTGCGCCGCGCCATCGACTGCTACTCCAACGCGCGCTGCGAGGACGCCGTCGCCGAGGTGCTCGCAACCGTCGAGCACCACGGCGCCGCCTCCGCCGTGCACGGCGCGGCGAAGCTCGCCGACCGCTACCCGTCGTCGGCGCGGGCGCAGTGCCTCCCGGCCTACGTGGCCGTGGAGCTAGCTCGCGAGCGCCGCGGCGGCGCGGCGTACCCGGCGACGGCGGCCACCCCGAGGCACAAGACGCTGCGCCGCGCGCTCGCCACGATGGACACCGCCGCCCGCACCTTCGACCGATCGCTCGTGGTCGCGCTGTTCCGCGCGAAGCTGCTCGCCTGCCTCCACGACTACGACGCCGCCGAGGCCGAATGCCGCCGCGCCCTCGCCGTCGATAACCCCGACGACCCGGCGGCGCACGAAATCCCCCTCGGATCTGCGATCGGAGAAGAGTACGACGACATGGTGTCATCCCTCAGGAAACAACTCTGTGATCTTCAGAAGAAGCTTGTCTTGTTAGCCGTACACGATTGGGCATCCATGGAAAGCGAGAAGCAATCTCAGATCCTCTCCGTCAGCATCGACGAACTGCGCGAACACTACAGCAAGATCGACCAAATCGCGGCGAACACAGTCTCCGAAGCGCGGCGCTTCTCCAAGACACACGGTTCATGGTGTTTCTGGATTTGCCCGCGATCTTCGGGCCAATGTGCAGGCAAGAAGTTCCTGGACACTGCATCTTTGCTGGAACATCTGCGCAATAAGCACCCGGACGATCTATGGGTGAATTTGAAGTCATTTCTTGACACAAAACTGTGTGGAAAATTTAAAACTGAGAATGCATCACAGGATGGCTATTCATGCCACGATGAGATGTTACAGTTTCAGAGCATAGATGGTATGATCGAGCTAGTGTTAAACCTACCTCCTGGTGGAATGAAATCAGAGACCCTGTCAGAGATGAGGAGGAGGAAATGCAGTGAATTAGCTGAGATCCTTGACAGAATCAAGAAGAAGTTGAGGGCTTGTCCTAAAGATTTATCAAGCTCTGAGGTCTGAAACTTTGAGCATCGTTTCAGTTTACTGTTCTCTCCTTGTGTTCATTCTTGTTTTGACAATTATATGCTCTAATTATCACGGTTTTTTTGCATTGCAGTTTGATCAGGTTCGTTCTGAAATGCAAGATCTGTGGCTGAAGTTTACCGAGTTGTCGGTTTTCGATTACCGTGAAGCAGTCGTGCCCCTTGCGAGGATGTATCAATGGGTTAGCTTTTATCTGAAATTCTTGTCTTGTCCAACTATCCAACTGTAAAATTGCGCATGCCGTGTGCTCGTTGATTAATTTACCATCCGTGCAGAAAGAGTTAAAGAAACGCATCAGTGAAGATGGGAGCATTATTGCTGCTTGGAGTATCGATGATATATTTGGTGATGTTCCTGCAGAACATGCCTCCCTTGATGAAAAAGTTGGCCATCAAACTGGGGAGAACAAAGTGACAAATAAATCAGATAACTTGAAGGTTATTCGTGCTACTTGTTTTTTCATTTTACGAAAAAGCTTTTATGTGACATAACTCCAAATTAATACTATGTGTTAACATGTTTGCTTATCGAGCTTTTTGAAGTCGGAGTACTAATGTATCAAATTCTCTGCTTCTCTGCAGGCATGAGCTCCCAAACAAAAGGCTCCTATTCTCCAACACAAAGAAAGGGCCAGCTGCGACGCAATATCCCGATCTTTTTCTACATTATATTTTATAAATTTGAAATCTTGTGTGGCACTATGAACGAGTGGGACATGAGAATAGTTTGCTAGCTTTTGAAGTTAGCTAGTTAGTGTCACGGAAAAAATGAGAATATCAATTAGCTTACGATTATTTAAGTACTCGCTCTATTTAAAAATATAATGCATAACTATTTTTTTAATGTTTCATAATTCAATGCATGTGACATATGTAATTAACTATTATATTTATGTAATGTATTAATTGGGATGATTCAAATGGGGTGATAATAATTGTTTCTTTTATCTCTAGTTTAGGATGGAGGAAGTATTAACTATAATAAATTTGAGAAACAAATTTATTTGTTTTTTTAAAATACATATATAATTTTTTTTTTCAATTTAGCCGTTTGATAAATGTGCTCATGATAAACGAGAAATTATTCTAACCCAACGTAACCTTAGGACGCGCAGTTAAAACCTTAGAGGAGAAGCGTGATTGGACATGACAGCAAGAAGATGGAGTGGGGGAGTGATAGTGGAGGGCACGAGAGAGGGGATTGGTAGCGATGGAACCCTATTTTCATGTAAAAGTAAGAGTAATTATTTTACATTAGGAGGGAAGTAGGGCAGGGAAAGAGAACGGGACAAGGTGAAGCACGGGAATAGAATTTACAAATTTTTGGTGGCTTGCTATAGTGGATACATTAATATGATTCATACTAAGGCCCCCTTTTATTCAAAGGAAATTCATAGGAATTTTAGAGAATTTTATTCATATAGGAATTTTTCTTACAAAGTTCTTTGAATCAAAGGAATGAACCCTATAGAATCTTATGAAATTTCTATGGAATGCCTCTTCTCATATAAGTTTTGGAGGATTTTTAACAAGAGGTGGAACCTCATGGAAGAAATCCTTAGTCTTTATCTCTCCTCAAATTCCTGTGTTTTTCCTGTGGTCCAATCAAACGGTCATTCCTATGTTTTTCCTGTGTTTTGCAATCCTCTATTTTATACTTACATTCCTATCAGAATATTATGTTTTTCATATTCCTCCGTTTTTTTCATTAACACATTAGTTTTTACTAGCTTTTCATAGCAACTTAAGAAATCAGTAATATCTCCCCCTTGTTCGTTTACGAACCGGACAGAGACTTGAAGAGTTTGCAACGATCCGTGATATCCAACATGTAGTAGTAATACTTATTCAGTCCCAAAAAATGGCTCTTATCCGAGACGAACTACAGGCCGACATCTACCTTAACTTCTCCATATATTTAATTAACTGAACCCTACCAACGTACCTTACAAACAAATCGAACACCACCGTATGTTGTCTGACGACCCAGGTGCCATCGATCTCATGGCGCCAACGGAGGAGGATGTCACCGTGTCGACGGTCAGCACCACGGCGACCACCGGATGCCATATGCTCAAGATCGACGGCTACACGCGGATCGCCAACATGCACGGATGGTGGGCAACTTCGTCGAGTCCTCCAAGTTCAAGGTGGCCGGCCACACCTGGAGCATCCTCTGCTACCCAAACGGGAGGACGTGTCCGGGTTTCGTCTCTGTCTCCCTCACGCTCCACCACATCACCCAGGCCCAGGCCGAGGTCCGGTTTAGCCTGGTCCCTCAACACCACTACGGGCTGACGCTGCCGTTGGGCGAGCCGCACGAGAAGAGGTTCACGAGGGTATTCTACTCCGGGGTCACGGAGGGGTTCGACAGGTTCGTCGTTAGGAAGGAGCTGGAGAAGTCGTGGTACCTCAAGGATGACGGGTTCGCGATCCGGTGCGACATCGCCGTCGTCAATAAGTTGGTCGTGAAGGAGCCCGTGGTTCGGCCGGCCGACCTGGAGAGGCTGGGGATGGTTTGCAACTGCAACGACGATATGTGCACGCTCCACCATACCTTGAGCTTCGCCCAAGTTGCCAAGCTCAAGTTTTTGGAGTTTTTCTTAGGGTGCTTTCCTCTATGAGAGTTTATCAATATTCAATTTATTAATCCATAGTTGATATTGTATTTTGATTTTAATTTTTTTATCAATGACGAAGCATAATTGTTTTTCTTTTCTCTAAGATCCGCAAACATATATAGAGAATATTTCAGTGAATCACGAATAACAAATCCATAATATTAGCGCCAATTGTATGTCTATTCTAATTTTATGACATTTGAAAATATGAAATCGCTTGATTTATGTATATTCGAATACAAATAAGGCATACTTTGCACATTCCACTACGTATGCGACATACCCACGAGTGCACCTTATGACACACGATGTAATAGATCGAGCAAGATCTAAATCACTATTCTCACTAAATTTCATTTAAAAAGTCACCATAGTAAGTATATTATTCGTACAGGCTGTGACATAAACACTGATGGGTGGAGTACACATGTAACACCCTGAAAATTCGATCGACAAAATCAAAACTCTAAAAATACGGATTTTCAAAAACTTTTTAAACTAATTGCATCATGCCAATCTTATTCGTCTATTTTATCTGGATTTGATCTCGAAGATTATTAATCGTGAGTAAAGAATAGTTAATTAGGAATAAACCTTAAAAACAAATTGGTAAAATAAATATAAATTAAAAATAAAGATTGGGTGTGGATAGTAATAAATAAAATATTATCGCGATCATATTTGGATCAATTAAATTTAATTACGATGGAATAAGAATTAACCCTAATTAAAACTCAAATAAATTATATAAAAATAAAATATGAGTAATATTAATCTAGGGTGAATTCATTAGTTAAGATAATACAAATATTGAGTAAAATACATATATGTAAAATTAGGAATTGTAGAATCAAATTCATATGGAAAATAAACTAAAATCGGGATAAATAGAAAAATACACTGTTCATTATGGCGTAGGTGTTCGATGTGGTCCCTAGCCTTCCCCCTCCTCTCCCACCTCTGTCCTAGCCGCCCCGAGCCCGTCCCGCGCGCCGCCATCACGTCGCCACCGTCACCGCGCGTAGCCACCTCGCGCCGCTCGCCCGCCGCGCCGCCGTCGCCATCGTCGCCGTCGGCCTCGCGCCCCGTGCCGCCGCCTCGAGCCCCGCGCCGCCGCCTCGCGCTCCGCGCCGCCGCTGCCACGCTGTCGCCGCGCCACGCGCCCGTCCCGTCGCCGCGCCATCATCCTGTCACCGTCGCATCGCCGTCCCGCGCCGCGCCGCCCGCCCATCGCCATCGCCGCCTTGCGCCCCGCGCTCGCACGTCGCGTCGCCGCGTCGAGCCCCGCGCCACCTGTCACACCGCCGCTCCGAGCCCCACGCCGCTATCGTGTCGCCGCCCGCGCGTCGCCGTTGTTCCGCCCCGTGCGCCGCCGTCGCATCGCCATTACGCCGCAGCCCCTCCCCTCTCCCCTCTCCACTGCGCCGCCGTTCCCGTGCCGCCGCGCCGCCGTTCCCGTGCCGCCGCGCCGCCGTTCCCGTGCCGCCGCGCCGCCGTTCCCGCGCTGCCGTGCCGTCGCTCCTGTGCCACCGTGCCGCCGCTTCTGTGCCGCCGTACGCCACCGTCGCCACCGCCGTCGTCGCCGCTGCCGCCGTCGGTGAGCCGCCCTCCTTCCCCCTCGCGTCCACCGCCGCCACCGCTCGGGTAGGAGGGAGAGCCGAGAGAGAGAGAGGAAAAGAGAGCCGAGAGAGAGAGGAAAAGAGAGCCGAGAGAGAGAAAGAGAGAGAGAGGAAAAGAGAGCCGAGAGGGAGAGCAGAGAGAGAAAAGAAAGAAAAAGAAAAGAAGAGAAAAGAAAAAAACCCGGAGAAAGAGACAAAGGAAAAATAAATAGACACACTTAGGAAGAAAATTAGGGGGGATAATAGTTTAGAAAATTTAAAATAATTAGAATTTAAGTATAGAATAATCATGGTCCTAGAATTGCAAAATTTAATTATTCTTTGTAATTTCTATAAGAAATCAATTCGCGGTAGTAATTTAGATGTAATTAATAACTAAACAAATAGATGAATTCTTATAGATTATTATAGATTATTTTTGGGTAATCCCTATAAGTAATCAATTCACGGTAGAAATTCGGATTTAATTACTAGGGATTTTAGCCATGTGTTATATTTAATCATTTAGTCATAGACTAAATTAAATCGTATAATATTTCTAGGATTTCGTCCGACATTTAGCTCGCGATAGAAATTTCTAACCTATTATATGGATATAATGCTCGGGTAGATTAAATTAAAAACTTAGGACAACAAAATATTTATACCCGCAAAATAGTTTAGGATATTAAAACTCGAAATTGGGTTTGCCTTAGTTCGCGAATAATCGACTTTCGCATTCGACTTTCATTTGAATTTATTTGGATTTTTATTTGAATTCTAACCGAATTCAAATCAATTTTTGCACGTAACTATAGCGCCTGAGGGAGTTGCGGATCCAAGCGAAGGCCAAGACCCGCAAGACTTTGAGCAAGGCAAGTCATCACTATTCCTTGAACATGTTGATCCCAATTGCGAAATTATTTTGTTTACAAATAAAATTGCATGCAATGATGAACATCCCACTTGTGATTATGCCATGCCTTGATTATTGTTAACCCTTAAATCTTTGTAACCATGTTTACGTATGAGTCTCTATTCAACTATGACAATTGCTTAGAAATGCTATTCTAGAATCATGCATACTCATATTTATCAAATGCTATATGCTTGGGCAATTACCTTTGGGAAGGTAATTGAGATGCGGCATGTGGAGACATGAGCGCCACATTGCCATGATGTTGATGACATGATTTGTGAAAGGAGAAATAAAATTAAACAACTGTTTTCGACTGGGGCGGACGGAGGATTTGGGTGGTATCTGGAAAAGGCTAGTACCGTCCCCGGTCAATTAAGGACCAAGCCATGAAGTTAAGCATGAAACGACCCCCGTACAACCGTACTTCTCGAATGGGTGTAGACCTAGCGGATTAGATAGCTGAGCGGATGCAGTATCCCTGCATAGATGGTTCACCCCTGAGTGAGGCAGGTGCGCTACGGTGGGACAGCCATTGAGGTAGGGCCGAGAGGCGTGCCCTACATCGGTGTCACCATTGGTAGGACTGCCATGAGTGTGTGAGAGAGAGAACTTAACTTGAACCATAATTTAATATGTGTGTGAGACTTCTCTTTCCCGGGAGCGCCAGAACTCCTCTCACTGCTAGAAACATGGACGCCTAGAGTGCATGAGGATTTAAGTTCATGGAGCGGGTACTGCCAATGCGAGGTTATCGAAAAGCTTTGCCGTGACGCGT